GGTTCGAACCTCGGGTTTTGACCACGTGGGCCCGGGGGCAATTTTTGACTTTTTAGGTAAAACTTTGGAAAACTCATTTTCATGCATTGGGGTTGATTCATTTAGCACTTATTGATGTAATTAAGTAATTTGTGATTAGATACGAGCGAATTGGCGGTGGAATTAAGGGGTAAAGCTATAATTAAGACTTGAGTTGTGTTCAAGGCATCGAGGTAAGTGTTTGGTCTAACCTTAGCTTGAGGGATTAGGAGTTGAGTCCTATTTGCTATGTGATAATTGTTGAGTACGACGTATAGGCATGGTGACGAGTATCTATACGTTGGTGTCAAGTATGACCGTGAGTCTTATATTGTGATTTTCATGATTTCGTTGTATTCTTCATGCTTTGGTGATGATTTCTAGTTGTTGTGAAAAGTTTGTGGAAGGAATTGAGACCTTTGAACATTTTGGAGCATTGGCTCGAGTTATATTATGAATTGTGAAAGTATATGAGATGATTGAACCCTTTGGAGCATTGGCTCAAGTGGTAAAGTGAGTTATGAAGTACAAGTGAAAGATAGAGAAAGAGTTATTGAAATGTTCCCTTGCCGGGATTTAATTATTTAATTGTTGTTCCCTTGCCGGGATTTAATTATTTACTTGTTGCTCCCTTGCCGGGATTTAATTGTTAAATCGTTGTTCCCTTGCCGGGATTCCTATATGTTCTTGTTTATTTCCCTTGCCCTTGTTTGTGATTGTTGTTTGGGTGAGGAAGAGTGTTAAAGCACGAAGGGTGATGCCGTGCATTGTTTGCTATTGTGAGGAAAGAGTGTAAAGCACGAAGGGTGATGTCGTGCCGCACGATGTACCATTCCGTGCCAATTCTATTGATTATATGTGAGGAAAGAGAGTAAAAGCACGAAGGGTGATGCCGTGCACATTTTATTATTCTAATTGCTTTGGTGAGGAAAGAGAGTAAAAGCACGAAGGGTGATGCCGTGCACGTTTTCATTATATTATTGCTTGGTGAGGACGAGAGTAAAAGCACGAAGGGTGATGCCGTGCACTTGTCTTTGATTTTCCTGATTCTTGCTGATAATTGAGTTATGTTGTCCTTTACTTTTATTTACTGATTTTCTTGTTGTTATCGGTTCAAGTGCATTAATTGTCTTATTCCACTATTACTGTGATTCTTTATGTTGGCATTTTCCTTTATTGTGTTACTTGTTATTATTGGCTCGAGGTATCCTTGCGCAACATTATGCCTTGAATTTATGCTATAATTGCTACATGTTTATGTGACTTAATTGCTACTTGACATTTAGCATACTAAATATTAAATTGCCTATTTGCTCCTTAAAGTCCATAATTAATTGCTACTTGTCATTACTTGTTTTCCTCAGTGAGTCATAATTATTGTGTACTTGTTGTCTTATGAATTCGTATTAATTGTTGCATTTGTTGGAGTAAATTTCATTTGGAAGAACTGTTGATTTAATGAAATGGGAGCGGGTGGTACGCCTACCACGAGATTTAATGAAATGGGATCGGGTTGCACGCCTGCAACGAGTTGTAAACCGAGAGTGAAACCTGCCTTTGTTTTCCTTATTGTTGTTAGAAGTTGAATTTTGGTTTCCTGATAATTCTCTTGAGATTTTGTTTCAACTGTTATCTCCCCGCAACATGTTCCCCCCTCCCATCCTTACTTGTTTATTTCTGCTTTACTTTCTGCTGTATGTTATATAACTGCACAGGTTTATTTGGTGGTCCGGTCCTAGCCTCGTCACTACTTCGCCGAGGTTAGGCTAGGCACTTACCAGCACATGGGGTCGGTTGTGCTGATAGTACACTCTGTGCTCTTTTGTACAGATCCAGGTCCCGGACAGCAACAGTAGCTCGGGAGCCGGCCTTCAGTCCACCGAGACTCCGAAGTAGCCTTGCACGCGTCCGCAGGCCCGGCGTCTCCTCTATCTTATACTTCATTCTGTTATCTCATGTTTTCGAGACAAACAATGTTATATTTCTTTCAAACGATTGTATTTAGTACTTTTAGTAGTCCGTGGATGATGTGACACCAGTTCTTGGGTAGAGGCACATGTTGAATTCCACATTATTGTTCAGCTTATTTAATTTAAGTCTTCCGCTTTAATTTGATATTCCGTTGTCATTTAAATATTTAACGCTTGTTGTTATGATAGATAAAAGGATTTAAAATGAAATAGGTAGGAGTTTATGATTTATGGCTTGCCTAGCTTCTACGAGTAGGCGCCATCACGACCCCCGAGGGTGGGGAAATCCGGGTCGTGACATAATAATATATAGATATTTAATTATTTTCAATTCAAACTAAAAAAAGGGTACTAATTATTAACTAATCTAACTAATTTTGTCCTAAAATTTTATACTTATTGAATTTGCACTGCTGGTGCTCAGTTGCAGCCATCCACATTAAATCATGCAAGGCCTTCTCAGGATTTTTCTTCTGGAAAAATGTTAAAAGGAAGCAAACTGCACCACACTCACTCTAGTACCAAAGGTAGCTAATCCCACATATGTGAAGGAGTACAGACCCATAGCTTGCTGTACAACTTTGTACAAATTGATAGCAAGAATCCTGACTGGTAGACTTAAACTAGTAGCAGACACAATTGTTGGACATTCACAGTCAGCATTTATAGCAGGAAGGAGTATATTAGATAATGTAATCATTGCACATGAGCTAGTGAAAGGGTATACGCAGAAGGGAGTCTTCCCTAGGTGCATGGTAAAAGTGGACATCAGAAAAGCCTATGACTCAGTTGAATGGGACTTCCTTAGAACTGTTTTACTAGAGTTTGGGTTTCTTGGGAAATTTGTTGGGTGGATTATGGAATGTGTGACTACTGTAAGTTATGCTATATTGATAAATGGAGGGATTACTCCAATGTTTGTGGCAAGGAAGGGATTGAGACAGGGTGATCCCATGTCCCCGTACTTGTTTGTGCTGATTATGGAGTACCTAAACAGATCCCTCAAACAGTTACAACATAATCCCGACTTCAATTACCACCCTAGATGCAGCAGGATGAAGCTGGTACATATATGCTTTGCTGATGATCTACTCATGTGCTGTAGGGCTGATAGTATTTCAATCCGACTAATGATCCAAGCTTTTAATCATTTCTCTGATGTGTCTGGGCTGAAAGCAAATTTGGACAAGAGTTCTCTGTACATTGCTGGAATTTCTCAGGAACTGAAGCAGCAGATTTTGAACGAGATGCAGTTTGCACCAGGAGAACTGCCAATCAAATACATAGGGGTTCCACTCTCTTCCAAGAAGATTACTGTACAACAATGTATGCCAATTGTGGAGAAGATGATATCAAGAATCAGATGCTGGACTACTAAATTTTTGTCCTACTGTGGAAGGGTGCAGCTGATCAAAAGTGTTCTCTTTGAGATGCAAGCATACTGGGCTCAGATTTTTGTCTTACCCACGAAGGTTGTTCAACTCATCACGAGTATATGCAGGACCTTTTTATGGACTGGAAGCTGTGAAGCATCAAGGAAAGCTCTAGTCTCTTGGGAATCATTGTGTATGCCAAGATCAGCTGAGGGCCTAAAGTTGATAGACTACACTTTGTGGAACAGGGCAGCCATATGCAAACTCTTATGAGCAGTATCTACAAGGAAGGAATCACTATGGGTGCAATGGATACATGGTTATTACATAAAGAACAAGGAGATAGAGTCCATGAAAATACCTCCACAAGCTTGCTGGTTTGTGAGGAAAATATTTGATGTAAGAAATTGGTTTGGCAACAGGAACTACAAGGTGGAACTGGGAAAGTGCAGCAAGGGGGATAAGTTCAGCATCAAGGCAGCTTATTTATCCTTTCAGCCACAATATCAAAAAGCTCAATAGAAAAATCTGACCATGGAGGCAAGGCAAATTCCTAGACATCAATTCATTCTATAGCTAGCCATAAGACAAAGGCTTGCAACTGTGGACAGACTAGAGAGATGGGGAATAAATGTTCCAAAAGAGTGTGTTTTATGTTCCATAGGAACTACAGAATCACTAGCTCACCTATTCTTTGAATGCAAATATGCAAGAGATATCTGGTGTTCTCTATTGAAGTGGATGAATGAAAACAATACTCCTAAAAATGGAGTGAGGAGGTATGCTGGATGGCAAAGAGGTGTAGAGGAAGCAGAGTTAAAGGCCAAGTACTAGCATGGTTGTTTGCTGCAACAGTATACCATGTATGGAGTGAAAGGAATGCTAGAAGATTTCAAAATGAAAAGATAGAGAGTCATTAGAGACTTAAAGAAATCAGCATCCAAGTGCACATTAGAGGACAGAGTTATAGCAAATGGAAGAAGATATTAGATAGTTTAAATAGTTTTCCTAGCTAAAAGTAGATAGCTTATGAATGTAAATGCATAGTTAACACTCTTAGATAGAAAGAGATAGAGATGACTAGTTCTTGAGTCCAAATGGAACTAGTGGCTGTAAATATACAATTTTGGTTGAATAAAATTTTTACTTTAACCAAAATTTTTTTAAAAAGAATTTAATTTTTAATTATAATTTTAAAAGGTATGCTTAGAGTTTAAATTTGTACGCATAACTAGTTATTAATTTACTAATAACCTATTAGCTTTGCTTAAATTTAATTAGTGAAATATGAATAAATTTTTAAATTAATAATTTTTTATCTTTTAACAATTTGATTTAATATTGATATGTATAATAAATTGTTTAACCATTAGTTATCCTTGTTAGCAAACGTTTTAATCTTGTGGTATTTTTTTGTAATACAATAAAGTTAAAGTGTAAATAAATTGCCAACAATATATTTTATAATGCTAATAGAAATATTTTTGTTACTGATAAAATACTTAGTTAACCAAAAACCAACATTTTTGGTTTTCATTAATTTTCAAAGTTGAACAAAAATAGTGGCGGTAAGTTTGCCTCCTTTTCTTTATGTTTCCCCAAATCCCTCCTTTTAATTTGTATACTGCCGCCTCCATCCCCTTCATCTCCCCCACGTCTCCCCGTATCTCTTTGTATGATATTCATCCCCATCTAACTCTTACCCCATATATCATTTCTTTTTTTTTTTTTTCTCTCTCTCTCTCTCTCTTAAACATACAATCCAAAGTGTTTGATTTACTTCAAAGCCTTTTTTTTTTAACTTAACAACTTTAAGAGACTAAAACTGTAATGATATTTCGTTTTAAGACCCAATGCCATTTCTCGTACTTTTTTTGCTTCGGTACAGATCTCATACCGGACCTCACTGTGTTTATGTAGTAGTGGTTTCTTTTTTTAATTTTATGAATAATATTTAAAGATATTTTGTTTATGTTTCTTTATTTTTGAGAGGTTAAGTACTCAAAATTTGACATTTTTTACTCTTAATTCTTGTGGTTATTTGCAGCCAAAGAGGAATTTAGAATATCTGTTGTGTTAAATCGAGTAAGTATTTTTATTCACCAGTACTTCTTTCTTATTCTATTGTTTGCTTCACTAATTAATACATAATTTGACTAGCGTTTAATTTTTTTCTCCAAATCATGATATAAAATGTACGACTAAAATTATAACTTTTTTTTCACAGGTACATGAATGTGGAAGTTATTCAAGAGTAAATTTATTAGATAAGTGGTTACATTAGAATTATTCTTGTATTCCGAGTAGACTTTTCATGTTGGATAGATTTTACTTTATTTATGTATTTTCGTTTATGGAGTTTGTAATGGGATATTATCTCAATATAGTATTAGTTGTTTTGAATTATTTGATCATGAATGGAATTTTTATTTTTACCATGCATATTTTATTTGTTATTTCCAATTTGTAAAATGATAAATTATCAATTAATGGAAAACTAGGTATACTAATTATAAATAGAACCACCACTAATTTAAATGACATATTTTCAGCAACGACTATATTATACTTTTCAAGACATCCACATTTATATTAGTTTGTCCCAAATTGAATGTATCCAATGACAAAAATAATATTTGTCTGAAAATCGCTTTTATCGACCACAAAGTAACGTTCTATTTATGACAAGTGTAATCGTCACTCATCATAAAAATTTGTAGCGAAAATTTCATTTAGTTGATAAAAATAAAATTTTAGACGGTATAAATTTTTAACTACAAAATTATAAACCATTTTTACAAAAGAAAAGTTGTCACTAATTCATACATTTAGGGACGAAATACTCTCTCGTATATAAAAGGTGATCTTTAGTGACAAAATTACTTTTGTACTACTACGAAATATAAACAATTTTAGAGACAATTGAGGTCGTCACAAGTTAAGCTAAATTGTTAGTGACAAAATCATTTTGTCGGTATTAATAACTTTTTAGTGACGAAAATAAACAATTAGCTACAATTTTTATTTTGCTTTCTCTGACAAACAAGCTTGTCACAGATACTATTCATTTGGGGACGAAAAAAAGTTCGTTGTTAATATAGTTCTATTTAGCAACGAAACAATAGGTTGTCTTTGTATACTTTTAGTGACCTCTTTCAGGGACGAACTATTGACAAATTCTTTTTCGTTATAAAAGGGTTTTTATGGCGAAATATGAAGTTTTAATGACGAAATAATTCGTCATTGATAATTAAATTTGTTGTATGGACCAAACCATGACGAAGTGATACAAGGAATTCTATGGTTTCTCCAATTATTGGCCAACCAAAAGTTCCTCGAGCTAAAGGGACTTTTTCTTTAGGCTTGGCAAGGGAATATTTGAACAAAAAGTTGATAATTATAGCAAGTGTGATTGCAATAGAGAGGAGGAAGAGGTCCATTTTGTCTGTGTGGTGTTCAGGTATACCATACAAGTAACCTGCAAGATTATGTATAGGAAAAATCTTTCTACCATATATATTGTAATATTGTGATATTGATTTTTTTTGTTGAAGAATTAACCCAAATAGCCACACACTTAATCTCTTAAATTAAAAATAGTCGGCAAATGTATAATTCATGTATAATATATGTCTAATTATGTATAATCAGTGTATAATCTATGCATACCGGCCAACTAATCTCTTCAACTAAAAATAACAGGAAGATGTATAATGTGTGTATAATGCATGTATAATATATGTATATTGTGTATAATCAATGTTCAATTTATGCATACCGACCACCTAATCTCTTAAACTAAAAATAGGTGGCAGATATATAATTAATATATGTATAATTCATATATAATATATATAATTGTATATAATCTATATATACATGCTACAAAAAGTAAACATCGAATCCAACCGATTATTTGTATAACAATCTCTTTTTTGTTTCTTGCTCTGGATACATAGCATGGGATTCGAGTATGATTTGTGGAAGCTGACTTTTTGTCTCCAGTCAACTATGCATGTGTATATTTACATGTTGCATGCAGTAGATAAATTATCTTACTTATTTTAATTTATTAATTATTATATATATATAGACGATTGCATGTAATTATTATATTTTAATTAGGTGACCTAATAATATTACAAAAAAGTTTAATATGTTAATATATATAAGTTAAACTCTTATTTTTATATTATACTTCAATACAAAATTGTACAACCTTTTATCACCTATGTTTCCGAACATATAAATTCTTTCAGGCAAAATGCATAGTTCACCCATTGACCTTGCACTCAAATTCCTGTTACACACCTCTCTATTACGTGCAACCTTTTACACACCCAATCTTTTAGAAGTATGTCAATGGCACACCACTTCTGTGTTTGACCACTTTTTCTAAACAAGTGTGTGGCACGCATGAATAAGGCTGTGACACGTGTCACTAACTTAAAAGTAGAAAAATAAAAAGAATTCATCCAAGTTTTATTTAAAAAATAAAGAAAAAGAAAAGGATTCCCTACCAACCTCGCCGGAGAATCCACTCCGGCCACCAGTGTCGAGAGCAATCTTTGCATAATAATTTCACACTTTTCTACAAATGCACCAGCTTTCAATTCCACAAATTCATTAGGTTTCAAATTATGGCTACAAGAGAACTTTTTTTTTTATAGAAAAACTAAATTAGCTCTCTGCTCCCCCATCTCTCCTGCACATCATCGCGGGGGACCACCACCACCATAGCTGGCACCACTCATCACATCACCTCCACATCCATTGAACCGGCAGCTTAAATTATAATTCGAAATTTTTTGACACAGGTTCGAATTTTGACAAACCCAGCAGCTGATTCAAATCCTTAAGCCCAATAACTGTTAAAATCAATTTCAGAATAGCAACAAAAATTTAATTTAGTAAACAAGCTCAAGAATTCAGTCCAAACAATTTCCAACTGTTGCGAGATTTCTCCGCCCAAAGGCCGATTCAGAAACTCTAGAAACCCCAACAATGGAGGTTCGAAACTTTCTCCTCCCAAATAACGATTCAAAATTCGACACCATCACAAATCCTCGAAATTTCTGAATGGAAAAGGAAAAGATAGGGAAGATGACTAAATTACTTTATTTGATTGAATATTATGGTGTAAATTTGTAGATTGAGTTTTATCTTCTTTATGGTGAAGTTGTCGGCGATGTCAGACCGATGGTCTTTTCCTTTTCTTCCTCTTGTTTATTCTTTACTTTTTAAAAACCATTTTGGTTTAATTTTTGACAGATGACACTTAAATTAGATTTTGGACAAAAAATTTATCGTTCTCATTCTCTTATTTTTTGTGTTAAACATGCACATGCCAGCTAAGCAAAATGATGTGTCATTGACATATTTCTAAAAGATTGGGTGTATAAAAGGTTGCCTGTGGTAGAGAGATATGTAACAGGGATTTGGGTGCAAGGTCAATAGGTAAACTATGTATGTGACATTTTCCCAAAATTTACTTCTACTCTTTAATCTCCAACACATTTCAACCAAAACTTGGGACACATTGCTGTCCAGCAAATAACATTATTTATCCCCTTTAAATTTGGATCAACTATCGATTTTCTCAAACACTTCGATTCAGTCAGAGTTTTTCCAAATATCCATTAAAAATATTCTCATCTCACCCCAGAAAAATTTGTTATTAAACTGTATTATTGTAATAAATATTAAAATCAGTAAACTTTCTGAAATAGAAATAGAAATAGAAAGTTAGTAGAAATGTCAAACTAATATCTGAAAAATAATTTTGGAATAAATCGAGCCCACTGAATACACGGTGTGTCCTTAAGGAAATTATTCCCCTCAAGTACCCGATGTGATGGAATATATCCTGCCAAGATAGAACGATTTAACTCACCGGAGTATTGGTACCAAAAACGCCAATGAACAACGAACCACTCGAAGGCTGTAAAACACACTGGAATTTTTGTGCAGGAAAAGAAGAAGATCAGAAAATTTCGTAAGTAAAGATTCTGGGAATCAAGGCATATTTATAGACCATTTGGCACTGTTTCTGAAAAGGTTTGCAACCTTTCAGAAACAGCCATGGCTGTTGGAACAGGTGGGAAGAAATATTGCGGGAAAACAGAAAACAGATTTAAGAGAATCCGAGAAAGAAAACGGACCGGACCGGGTCGCAGGTCATGGGTTATTCCGGATTGAATTTTCGTTAATTAATTAAATAATTGAAAGGAATTATGTCCAAAAAGATTAATCAATCAATCGTTAACCAAGTTCGAAGCCGAAGCCGATAGCGAGGACGACGACGACACGAGGCTTGCCTTCTTCTTAACTCTTTAAGAGCTAGAAGAAGAGCAATTGTATATATACCCATCAAAAGTCTTTTCTTCCTCCAATATGGGACAATGTCCCTTTGCCAAGGAGGGAAACTCAAATATTTCATTTTCCCTCCATTTCCCATTCATCCTCTTTAAGCTACACCAAACTTAAAAGCCCAACAAAATTAATATATATATATATATATATTGGGTGCACCTAGATTTGTTGTGATACTTACGTCGATCGAGTCGTAGCAATACTTGGTGAATCCAAGATTGAGAGTTGAACAGCTCTTTAATTAATCTTTGTCCTACGTGCTATATTAGTTATCTCTTGCTTTTATTAAAAGAATCAAATCATGCATAGCTTAGCATTTAAGTACTTCACACGTTTACATGTATCTTCAGCTTTACATTTCTAATCGAAATGGTCAAATTTGCTTATGTATATATCCTTTGTTAGGCTTTGGTAATATTACCCTCGCCGTTAGAGAAGAAAAGTCTTACTTTTACCTTTATACCCTAGTTTCCCTTTGACGTGACGGTAATTTTAAATCATAATCAAAAGTTGAACGGTAAATTTGACCTTTTTCTTCGAGCAAATAATTGCTAAACCAATTAGTGATAAATTAAAGGGGGTGAATTTTAGTTGATCTTAATAAATTCTAGACCGGATAAAACAGAACATTATCAGGTAATGGATTGAATACACTATGATTGACAATAAATGTAATGGTGTGAATATGTAATAAATGTGACGATGTAAATATGTAATAAATGTGAGCAACGACAGCAAATGTGATGAAAAGGGATATGTCACCCAGCTAACATATGATTGGGATGTCCTTTTTCTTTGTCTGCGACTTGGAAAGGTATGAAGTTGGGATAATGTGGAATTTCTATGTTTATGGATCAAGATGGGACAACATGTGCTTCAATAATATTATTGACAAATAAGACAACTCTTGGATATTCTCTGTTCTCAACTCTTACAATGTGCTTTCTTTCTCCCAATTCCGAAAAAGAAGAAGAAAAAAGCCCCCTCCCCCTTCTTTCCTGTCTCTTCCTATTTATAAGGGATATTC